GGGACGCAGCCCGGGCCGGTCGTTATTGGTCTTATTTGCAGGACGGCGAGGGGTCTGAAAAGTCAAAAGTGAGAGTAGTTGGCACAAAAATAAAATGAAAGGTGTGCGCGTTGTTAAAAGCCCCGTTTAACACAGAAATTTCCCACCTTCTTGTTTCATGCGTGGCAGTTTTGCGGGTGTTGGAGCAGGGGCGGCGGGGCTGGGAGCGAGACCCGCTGGGGATGGGCAGCCCGGGCAGGTCCTGCGGAGGGAGTGCTGTTCTTACGGGCCTGGTAACACGCAAAATGACATTAAAGTTACCTAAATGATCCTTTCCTACAGAAAACTAAGGAGCAGCAGAACTTCTTAACTGTCTCGAAACAGAGCAAAGCAGTTAAACATTTTCATACTTGGCTCAGGGGCAGAGGTGCCACGGCAGCCCTGGAAATGGAAGCTCTGTTGTGGTTTTCTGTAAGTTTCTGCACACGGGCCGTGTTTTCCAGGATCTGGGAATGCCAAGCTACAGCAAGTATCTTCGGGACAGTTTCTTTGCAAATAGAGATGTTCAAATAAAGCAAAAAGTTGTTGGGGGAAAAAAAAATCTTGCTTATTTCCAGAATAGAAAGTGGTTCATAAATAATAACACTAAACATCTTTATCATATAAACACTAAAGAGTTTTTCATCATCCTGCAAAGTCTGAGCAAGAACAGCCAACTTCCTTCTAGTTCCAAGAGCTGGAAGTAGGTCTGCTGAAGTCAGTGGAGCAATAAAGGTGGAAGCATTGCTGTCTACAGTGCATGTGGTAAAATCCTGGATATCTAATTAAGACCTATGAAATATTTTTATTTGTTTTTCTATTTAAAGGAATTTGTCTGGAATATGTACAAGATGGTGAACCAAAGTCCAGATCTATAGATCTGCTTGATCTTACACCTGAGTAAGTGTGATAATATTTCTGATAGCAGCACTCTCTGCTGTTCTGTAGCAAGCTCATATACAACTGTAATTGATTGTTTTAAACGTAAGTGTGGTCAGTTATGTCTTTGTTCACTAAAAAACACACACAGAAAAAAAACCATCAAATAATTTTTCTACTATTTTAAATACAGAACTTTGTATTCCAGCTGATTACTGCTGTCATGCTTTTCCACTCAGAGGTGAAGCCTCTTTTTACTTACAGAGTTATGTTTATCAAGATGCCTGCACAAAGCCATCAGCACTTAGCACTGTGATGTTGTGGTGAATGTCAGTTAGTTCCTAGGTTCTGTGATAGCATTTCTGGTCTTCAGAATGTTTTCAAAAAGTGGTCTAACTCAGCCCCTAGTTACATTGGTTTAAATGACCCCTGTTGAGATCACTGAAAAGAACAACTAGACACCAGTTCAGGTCTCTTCAGTGAATTAATTAATCCTCTTAACAGCCACAGGTAAGGTCGTGCAAGATAAGCAAGTGATTACTCTCATATGTTTGTGTGGAGACACTTAAGTATCTGCTTCTGTAAGGAAAGTTTTCTGGTTTCTTTTGTTGTGAACCTAATGGCAGTTGGCTTCTTGGGAAGAACAGGTAAGAGGCTGACATCAAACACCATGCAAAGATTCTCAGGTTGTATTCAGCATTCAAACTGTTTATTCTGCTTTCCTTTAGCTAACGTCCTCCTGTAGCCATCCAAAATTAAAATAAAAAAATTAAATTAAAAAAACAGAAACAAGTCTGAGAACCTTAACATGCTTTTGGTCATAGTAGTCAGCCTAAATGCTCTACTGAGCCATCTCTGGTACAAGGAGCTTCAGAAAGGTAAAAAAATGTCACCGTTAAATAAAATTGCCAAAATCCATGAAGTTTATTAAGTAGAGGACGTGAGATAATATCATTTTCTTAGTACCAACTTTGATATGGAAGATCAAAATTAGTAGACAACATAGGCTGCACAAGATGAAAAATCCAAATTTAAAAAGTATTAATTTTTGTTTAACCAGAACTGTTCAGCTGGACAAAACCTAGTGAGTTGCTTCATGAAATAAATAAATTGTCTGGTATTACTTGACAGGAGCATAAATGTTGAAAGATACTAATTTGTGGCGGTGTTAGTGTCTCCCATTCAGAGGACTGATAAGGGAAATCCCCTTTAGACTGCAAAAATGTACATGCTAACGAAATGTCAGGCTTTCTTGCTAAAACTATTTTTAAGTGTGTGTTGGTGCTGTGACTGCCAGGTACTGACAACCCTCAGTTTCTCTTGGATGGCCTGGAATCAGTAGTTTACCTGATGATGTTAAAAGATAATCCAATTCCACAGACTAGCTGTGAACCAATCCTTGGGGGCTCCATGGACATCTGTAGACTGCAGACCATGTTTTGGAAGTTCTTATCATAACTAAGAGTTGTAGGAACAGGCACAGACTTGAGAAGCTACAGACAGACATAATTTTAGCATTTTCCATATATAATTTATCTTGTTGCTATTCCTTAGGTAAATTTCTTTCCAGGCTAGAGTTTTTAAAAGCTAAATCTTACTGAACAACTTCAGTAAGAGAAAGAAGGAAGTACAGAAACCAAGAAAGATTTATCCATAATTCTTTCAGCCATTACACAATGAGATAAACACATAATTTAATTGTTTCAGGTTTTCTGCAAGTAAATTCTTGGTTTTAAATTAATACTTAGTGCCAAAGTATGAAAACTAGTAGGTTTGGGTTTTGGGAGTTGTTTGTTTGTTTCTTTGTTTGTTTGTTTTCCTCATAATTAGCACAGATGCCACAGCCTTAGTAGAAGAAATTCAGAAAGGAGAACCGCTCATCACAGCTTCGTGCAAGGAGTATGTCATTCATATAATACGAAGATTGCAAGAGAAGATAGGGGAGAAAGAAGATCATAAGTTCAAACTTTTTAAGGTCAGAGGCATCTTTAAAATAATTTGGGGCATTTTGGAGGGTTCCAGTTAGGATATTGTGTTTTCACTGCTGCATATTGTGCCTGAGAACAAAATTTGGAGTTTATGACCAAAATCTTGCTCTTTTCCATGATCTGAGCACTGTTTAGAGCAACTGGGCCTGGCCTGGTTATGACTGCCAAGAATTCCCCAAAAGGCTGGGAGGGATAACTGATCTTAGACGCTGTTTACACAGACTTACGTACAAGGGTGTGTTTTGGGTGGAGAAAAATAATTCTCTCACTTGTCAAATAAGACCCTGTGGACTATCACCACCCATACTCAGGTTTAAACAAAACCTGTAAATAGAGAAAAGTAAATTTGCTGCTGGGAAAGGCCCAAAATATTTTAATGCCCTTGTCTAATTATTCTTAATTTTGCAAAAAATTAGGTTCTTTTTATGTATTCTGCTATATACAGTAATACTGGTTATCATTGCTTTCTGTCGTCAGCTTAAACGAGTCAATGTTTTAAGAACAAGGATTAGAGAGACCATTCAGGGCTCCAGGATTCAGTTGGTCAGAAAATAATAGATTTGACTGTATTTAATTGTGGAAATAGAAATAAAATTGCATCCAGAAATTGCATGTTGCACTGAAATAATTGAGTGTTGTCTCTTTATTGTGTCAGCAGATGGCAATGTGTAGCTGTTAAAAAATGCTGGTCCGTGCTATGCTATTGATACATTAAATTTAGAGAGAGAAGGGAAGAATTTTGTGTTGGCAGGCAAATCCAATCAGTGCTGGCTTATTACAAGTGTGTGGAATGAACTTAATTTATGTTTCAGTTCCATTTAAGTGTTGTAAATGAAACATGAGTATCAGGTGCTTCTGAGATACTAACAAAATACAAGAGGTGGGAGAATTTTTGTGGGGTTTTTTGTGGGTTTTTTTCCACAAAATGTTCCATGTAATTGTATTGTTTGGAAAGGCATATTTTTTCCTGTTGCACTGGGGCATAACTTTAAATGAGTGCATAAGCCCATCGTTTTGTCATTTCCAGTAATTTTGATGACGGTTGTCTTAGGCACCCTGCAGAGAAACAAGTTTCTGTAGCAGTTTCTGAGGCTTTAAACAATTACATAACAATGCTACACTGTCGTGATTTGCAGATTTTTTTTCTCTTAGGGACTGCTGTAGCAGGTTCTGCAGAACTGAGATACATTTAAAAAAATATTGCCTTAGGCTTTGATTATGGTATCATTTGCACAAGCAATTCATGCTGGTTTAGAGTTCTGTGGATGAAAGCAACTGCAGCACTGGGCATTGGAAAACCAGAATTAGTCCCATGATCTAAAATTGAGCATAAACTCGTCCTTTTTTCCTAATTGTTGAATATGTTTGTTGTTCAGAGCTTCCTGCATGGACCCTGAAGAATATCATGGATCAAAGTTCCAAAAATTTCCATAATTATCAATTCTCATATGCAGATATTTGTATACTGTGGCTGTTTTTTTTAAAGAAGCAAAATGTTTTTGTCCTTTCTGTATCTTGATTGCCCATTCCCACTGCTGTAGCTGGAAGTACAACCTCTCTTCCTCTAGAGAACAGAAATTACTGTTTCTCTAACATAAAATGTTTTCTGTTTGTCTCAGTCCTTCACTTGACCATCTTTATCTCTGACTTGACTAGCTCCTACTCTTCTGAGTAGATCTCTGAGCTCCTCTTTTGGGGACAGGCAGCTGACAAAGCTAGGAATAAGAACAAAAAGGTGAAGCTCTGGCAATATGTCAATGATTAAATGGCATTGCTCATAAATAATGACTTCTTCATTCTTAAACTACAGAGAAGACATAGTGGACCACTGCTTTATTTTTAACATCCCTTTACTTCACTGTCAGCATTTAATGAGATTTCCCAGGTTATGGTTTTATTGTGCTTTAGACTTCAGCAGAAGCCTGTTTGTAATAGGTGAAAGTTGTGGGTTTTGTTGTAATTTTCAAAGTATTGTGGCATGCTGACTTCCATGGGCAGTATCTGAAACCATTTTCACCCATGTTTAGTGAACCATAATATATGTTATTAAGGCTATGAGATAATTTGCATTAAATGTATGCTGTCTGATTAAAGGATCTTAGAAGAAATGTTAGAAAAACAGTGACCACTATAACCTACACAAGGCAGGCAGACATAAAATCTCTTTGAATTTTGTCTTGATGAGTATATTTTTTATGGTTCTGTATGTCTTTTTTTGTCATGACCTCATAGAACATAGCTTATTTCTGTTCTTCCTGTTTGTGAAAAAAAATTAAAAATCCCATACAAACTGAGAGCATCCCATGACCTAAAAAACTCAAAATACTCAATTCAGCTGGATCTGTTGATTTGCAAAGTAAGGCTTCATATTAGTCTTCTTGCTCATTTATTTTTGCTTTTTCAGCTCTGGTCTAGGGTTAGTCTGCTTGTCCCAGAGAAGGTGGAGGAAAAGCAAACATGGGAGAAAAGACAGTTAATTCAAGCAAAATATAAATTTGAAATCAATACTATATAATATTTTCAGTGATAACCTGTTGTGGCACAGGAGATTTTTTAGTTAGGCGTTAATGCATTACAGCTGTAACTGCTGATCTGACAGGAGGAGAAAATATTAATCTATTGAATATTTTTAACAGTTGTTTTGGGTTTTTAAATTTATTTATATCAAATGATGTTTTCTTCTCCTTCATCCCACTTCTGTTTCAGATACTGAGAGCACATATTTTACCACTGACTAATGTGGCATTTAACAAATCTGGTTCTCGGTAAGTTGCTTTTGAAATCAAAATACATAACCAGTGAATGAAGTTTGGTATTTGTAAATTAAATTGTAAGGGAATTTCAGTGCTCTTATTGCAAAAAGAATTCAGCTGTACTGCTTATAAGCCACTTCAAGTGTGACTTCAAAATTTCAGGACTTTGTGGGAAAGCCAATGGGAGAGGCAAAAAAGTAGTGCAGGAGATTCAAGTTATGTAATTTTTTTCTTCCAAGGTGATAGTTTGTTAACAATTAATATATTTCAGAAAGAAGCACCTTTATGGTTATAAAGTGAAATAAGTCTTTGATATAAATTAATTTGGGGCTTTCACTGTGATAGAATGTCATGTTAATTGATTTCACCATGGTCATATGTCTCATAATTTTTTCCTTCATGTCTTGAAAGCAGCAGCTTACTTTTTAGTTGAAATATGTTAAATATTAGGAAAAGTTTTTTAATTAGTAATTTTATTTTATTTTGTTTTATTTTTTAAAAAGGAACCTCGATGGTTATTAGTCTATATTTTTTAAAGAATAAGGAGATTTAGGGTCTGAGATACTACTAACTAAAATCTGTTGAAATAACTCATTTGACTATGCACCAGAACCAGTAAGGTATTTACTGTATTCAGAAATTAGTTTCTCTTTGCTTTAGCTTTATCACTGGAAGCTATGACAGAACCTGCAAAGTATGGGATACTGCATCAGGAAAAATTCTACATACACTGGAGGGACATGGAAATGTTGTCTTCGCAATAGCATTCAATAATCCCTATGGGTAAATACATTTTCCATCATAGTTGCTAGTCATGTTATTTTGCAAATATAGAACAGCCACTTGAAATTTTACATAAAACGGAGTACCTCAAATTGTAAGGGTTCAAATTCTGAATTTATTAAGTTGAACTATAGCTAATCACTGCACAATGACACTTTGTATTACTTGGGTAAGAGATGCATTCAAGCATGTTTTCTGCTATAATTAAAAAAAATAATAATTAGAAATTCAAAGCATAAATCTAATTAAGTATTCAGCATCTGGAAAAATATATGTGAGCCAGCTTAATATATCAAAACACAGGTTTATTTTGTTAATATCTACATGATAAGACTGTGTTCTGAATGTTAATAATTCTTTACTGCTTCCATATAATTGTATATGTGAGATGTAAGTAATTATGAAAGCTTGTGTTGCTTTAGTTAAGAAGAAAGAACATTTCTGTCACAATAAAAGTGGATTTCTCCATTTTGTATGACACATTTGTTATTATTATTTAGCACATGATTTAAAAGTGTCAGAGCTGTTGAGTAATTTTTATAAAATCCACAGGGTGCCACTGTATGAATGTCAAATATAAATCTGTGCATCTTGTTTTCTGCAATAACTGTTTGCTCTGGTTAGAATTGGCACCTGTTTAGGTGAAGGGAATTATGTTAACTGCTGAAGTTCCATTGTTATTAGCTTCCTGAGGAATTAATGCCTATTTTTATATTGAATCACATCAGTTCTTTTAATGTCAGCTGTCCCATTTATCAGTTAAGCAATACACAGTCAATATCAGGAAAAAAAATGTTAAAGCTTGTTCTTAGTCTATCTGGAGCAACATCATTTCCTTCTAAATGGAAAGACTTTATTCAACCTAAAACCCACTGTGTCAGTGTCTTATAATCTGACATTAATTTTTACTTAAAATATGAGATATAAAAATTTTAATTATTTATATATATATACCAGGCTGTAAGATAAAAGTGCAGAAGCAATACATAGTGAGAGAAAACCTGGTAAGAACCTTGAGCTACTTTTAAATTAAAATTTCAGTAAAAAATGAACTTCTTTTCTTACTTTAATCTTGAGGTTTCAATACAGGTAGTGTCCCTTGCTGCATTTTCTGGGCACTTTAGTTCAATCTTGCTCTAACTGCTGTTGGTCACAGCACTTCCACTGACTTCAATGGGAGTGGAGTTTGACCCCTGAAATTTGGGTAAACTGCTTATAAAAAGAGTTTGCAATAAACAGATGCCATCTGATGAAATGACATAACTTTAAAATAGATCTGGGAGTCCAGCAGATAATGTCATTCCTCATATATGTTGGTCATCAGTTATGAACACTTCTGTCCTAATAATTAGGCACAGTGGCTTTCCTAGAAACTATGTCTGATAATTTTTTCCTTTAATGTAACTTCCATTTGTGAAATCCTGCCCCAGGATCTTGTGGTGTGGCAGAATGCACCAAAATGCTTGCAAGCTTCCATGACTGGGTATTGTTTCTGTGGGTTCTCCTATCTTTGAAGTAAGAGGTGTTTTGATGAGTAAAAATGACAGGAGTTTGTTTTTTTTTTTTCCATTTAGTAACATGATTGCCACTGGATCTTTTGATAAAACCTGCAAACTGTGGAGTACGGAAACAGGAATATGTTCCCATACTTTCAGAGGGCATAAGGCAGAAATAGTGAGTACTGATGGATGTTTCTAATTTCTTTGTGTTTCCTCACACCATCACTGGTGGCTGTGGGTTCCAAGTCCCTGTGAGCTGACTCTGGAAGGGGCAGCTAATCTGCTGCATCTATCGACATGTTCAGACATTGTGAACTTTTCTGCATGGTGAGAAAAGAGAGCCATAGAGTCATTTTGTTTGAAAAAGACCTTAGAGATCACTGAGTCCAACTGTTACCCTAGCACTGCCAAGTCAACCACTAAACTGTGTCCCTCAACACCACATCTATGTGTCTTTTCAATACCTCCATGGATGGTGACTCCACCCCTTCCCTGGGCAACCTGTTCCACTACCTGACAACTTTTTCAATAAAGATATTTTTCCTAATATCCAATCTAAACCTCTCCTGGCACAACTTGAGGCCGTTTCCTCTTGTTTTATCACTTTTTACTTGGGAGAAGAGACTGACCCCCACCTCACTACAACCTCCTTGCAGGTAGGTATAGAGAGCAAGTAGGTCTTCTCTCAGTCTCCTTTTCTCCAGGCTAAACAACCCCAGTTCCCTCAGCTGCTCCTCCTAAGTCTGGCAGTTCTTCAGACATGGAGTATACAGTTTGAAAAGGTATTGTTACTTTTGGTTTGTTCTGATTTCCCTTGTTTGCTAAACGTTATAACATTTTTGAAAAATACCATAACAACTAGAATTTTCAATTTATTGCACATATTTATTCCTCAATTAGTTTATGTATCCCATTTTTTTCTAGATAGCTTGCACTGCCTCTCATGTGCAGCACTCAGTGCACAAGAACACTGTATTGCTGTATTTCACACTGAGGTCTGTAGTTCACATACAGGATCAATTGGAGCTGTAGAAGAATGAATTTCTGAAATCTGGTGTCTTAACTGAGAATAAGTGAAGTGTCAAAGACATATGAATAGAAAACAGTTTAAGCTTAAAGTGGTTAGTTTCCTTTCCGATGCACTAGGAACTCTGTTAGCAATAGCAAATATCTTGATGCACAGCATTCTGATTTAAAATATCAGGCCAAATTCACTAAAACTCTTAATTTCAATGTAGAATATATTTTTCCTTAAAAGTAGTTATATAGTCATTCAATAAGGCATTTCTGGAAAATGTTTCTGGAAACAGTATTTAATTTCTAGATTGCAAGGCCTATGACTAGTGTGAGAGAATGGTGGCTTTGGTGGGAGGTGAGGCTGGTTTCAGAGAGTTTTGAGTCTCTGGATACTTTGAAACACTTACCCTTACTGTGGAGAACACCTTTACTTATAGAGACAGGCTGTAGTGATTTTGCTCTCACAAATCAGTTAGCTAAATATTTAAAGGCCTCTTAATTTATTCTGAATTTTTGTACGGGTTTAGTTTAGACCCAAAGTGTTATGAGTTGTGCTGGAAAGTAGTTAGTAGGAGATAACAGCCAGCAGAAAAAGATCTGTTTCTCTGAATGAGCCCTGTTACTGAAAGGCTATTATTATATATGATACATTGCTGGCAAGGGCATGTCCATAGTTTTTCAGAGTTAAAAGAAAAAAAAAGAGAAGAGAGAAAGAAATGGACATAGTGAAAATGCACCAGTGACCTCAGCTACTGTTTTCCCTTTTACATAGCACCCCCTGTTCTTTATTAGCAGAGCAATGATATTGAATAATTACAGAGAATGGGAAGAGGACTGCATGATTTTTCAATATGAAAAATTAACTAAGGAAGTTGTTGAGCTTTTCTTCTTGCTTTTCCAGAAATAAATATGATGTTGTGGAAATGCCCTTGGCAAGTCGCTTTGATAATGGCACCTGTTAGAATAAGAGTGTGTTTGTATGGGCACAAAACTTGATTTCTATTTTTTTTTTTTTTTTAATTTTCTCTACTTCTTGGAATTAGACAAGGAGTTTAAGAAATTTGCAGCTATTTAATAAGATTGCATAAGTTTATCTATTGCATTACAGATAGTGTTATTGTTACATTGTTTTCTGTCAGTTTACTATGCACTATTAAGAAATTAAAAAACTCTTCAGTCCTGATTTCCATTAAAACTTTGTGAACTAAGCTTTTCCCTGTGACACAAAATGAAGCACCTGAATACTAGAAACAATACAGGAAATCTTCCAGTAAGTCTTTTTAATGCATTGCCATTGCAAAGCAGCCAATTAGTCCATTTGATTTGAGTAATCATCCAGAGCTATGTCATAAGGATTGTAATTTTTCTAGTGAGCTGTTGGAAGACCTCTGCAATTCTGCTGTATGCCATAAAATTTTAAGTCAGACTTTTGTTTAAAAATATTAATGTTGAGCCCTTGGTTTTGAGAAAATATATATAAATACTCTCCCACTTTTTCCATCCAATGTTTCTTTCTACAGGTATGTTTGTCATTTAATCTTCAGAGCACATTGGTGGCAACTGGAAGCATGGATACCACTGCCAAATTATGGGATATAGAGAAAGGAGAAGAAAGAGCCACTTTAAGTGTATGTTTGTCTTCTGTATGTTTTTGAAGATGCTCCTTGCTTTTAGTTTTCTAACTGAGATAAATAACAATATAACCATTACAACAGTTTCAAACCTTGCAGAGTTTCTTTTAGGAGGCAGTCCCACAGTGACTGCAGTTACAAAAATATTAAGAAAACTTGAAGTGAATTATAAAGCCATGGTATTTTATAAGAAGTCCTATTTATAAAAGGACAGGTTTTCTCATTTCAGTGCTGTTACTGCTGTAAATCAGCATGCCTTCCAATTCTCATTAAAACATGTTGTTATGCTGTAAATTATGACCCCCTCTGCTTCAACATAAAGGAACAGAGAACATTTATGTAGGACACTGCATCTGCATGAATCTTCTTCCTGTAAACATCAGCAGAGGACAACCATCCAATTACCTCTAGATTGTAGCATCTGTTTGCTCTGTTTGACCTGCTGGGATTCTACAGGCTCAGACTGGCCCGTGCTATTTCAATGCACTTTTTTCACATGCTTCCTAAATAACAGATAGTGCATAGTCTTCCTTTGGTGTATGTGGCCTGTAGAGTGAGGAAGGCATTTCTTCCTCGTTGACTTTCTCTTCCTCAGAGCCCTGAGCAGAGCAAAGACCAGTGGAGTGTGAGAACCTTTACCTTAGAAGTGTGCTCACACTCATTAAATTTTTCAGCTGTCTCCACCAACATCTTTGACATGCTCTACTGTAAATGAATAATCTGATTTGAATATGCATTGGTGAAAAAATGTTATTTTGTTCAAATCAAATATGGAAAATATGCACTAATAGCATCACTGTATAATTGCTCACTGCTTAAGTGATGGTCTGATTTTTGCTGTTGATGGGATAGTGATTATTCCACAGTGCAGTAGGTCTTTCTCTCAAAATTGTGATATACTGGGCAAGAAAGTAAATAATATATTGAAGGGTTATAGAAGGACTTGCTGAAAAAAGCTACATATGAAACTACACAAACTACACTAATGGAAAAGCCATAATCTGCATTCTCCTACTGTTTTTTAAAAATTCTCTCAGGGACACTCTGGAGAAATTATTGCAGTGTCTTTCAACACCACTGGAGAGAGGATTATCACTGGCTCCTTTGACCATACAGTAAAAGTGTGGGATGTTGGCACTGGCAGGTACTAAAGTACTCATAAGTATCATTTTTCATTGAATGTTCTAATGTCAAATGAAAGAGACAATGTTGACCTACAAATTACAAACTTTGTGTTTTTGCTTCATTTAGAGTCTGTGTTCCTTCTTCTTGTAATGCGTTACTTATTTTCCCCTGGTTCTTCTGAAAAGTAATGAAGCTCATTAAATGCTTTTGCTTATGCTTTTTGTTCAAAATTTCCATCTTATGAGCACTGAGAAAGCAGAGAGAATAGACAGATCCTGTGTTTGTTGCTGATGAATTCTCCAAACAGGAACATATTTTATGACCATGGAAACTCATGACTGACCAAGTAGTTTATGAAGATAACAATCCTATTGTGTTTTCAGAGGTCATGTCTTTTTTTCTTTTTGTGAGAGCAAGGGGAATATCTCTGGAATTTATATATAAAAGGAAAGTGTGTATATAGGACTATCTTGGGGGATAAATAATGTATATCACTTCAAAATTAGAGTAAACATGATTTAAAAACAGTGTACACATTGTATATCATTTAAGGCTTGATCCTGGAAGTTTTGACTTCTTCAACACCAGTAGTTTAATATTTGCCATGTAAATACTTAGGAGACCCTCGTTCAGCAAATCAGATCTTTGGATACAACTTCATTCAGCCTGGTGTTCTTGCAAATATATTTGTTTGACAACAGGTTTTTTTTCCAGCCTCTTTTCTGAGCCTGCAGTGAAGTCCAAGTACTGGGATTTTCATGTTGCATTCTTTTTTTTTTTTCTAAGAAATGAATGTGAACTTCACATCGGGGTCAATATTTGCATATATTTTCAATATTTTCAGTTTTTCATTTTTAGGTATTTTGGGTATGAGGTATAGCAGTAACATGAGTCTTGATGGCCAAATAATATGTTCACAAAATTTTCACTTTTTTCTCCTCTTGATGACTTTGTCTACACATTTACAACAGCTCTGGCCTCATGTTGTTAGAAAGTAAAATGAGTAATTATACAAAATGACATGAGTATAATAAAGTTTTTGTTATCACAAAGAAATAGTACATTCAATTGCTGAGGAGTTTTGCTTTGCTCTTCATTTAACATCCATATTATTTTCACTTCCCCTGACATATCTTATGCAATGAATAAAAAAACATTTCAGTCACTTGAACTGATTTAGTTGTTTTTCCAGTCATTAGTTTATTCATTAGTTAAAGCAGTTTTCTTTCAGTGATACAGTGATATTAGCATTATGATAATAACCTAATTGACTAATCCTTTAATATATATCTCTCAATCTTTTTTTATTTCATTGCCTTATAGACCATTAATTCATAGGAAGCAATAATGGCTAATTGTATCCTCTGTATTCAGCTAAAGCTGGAGAAGTTAATGGAACTAATATTGCCTGTCTTGTGCAGCAAGAAGTTTAGGATTAATGAGGATTAGAAGTCATATTTCAGTTTGGCTGTCATTTGCCTGTTACTTGGGAATATGCTCACATGAAGTACATGATTTTATCTTCAGAGGATTTAATAAAAGGTTCAGATTATATGGAGTTTGAAAGATGTACTGTTTACAGTTTGTTCAAGTAGGATAATGTGGAAAGCTTCCTGTATGTGCTTTGTATGTACATGGATACAAGAAATCTGTCTCTGGAACTGGAAAGTAATTGCATTTCACTGGAAACACATCCACTGAAATATTTTTGAAAGAGAAGGGAGGACTTTTCAATTTTACTCCTTACTGCATCTCTGTCTCAAAGATAAAAACCAGAACTGATGTGGTACTAGAACCCTATATGGGCTGTTGAAATGCTTTAATGGATAAGGTGGTGAAGACTTGACACCTTAACTATACCATTTTATAAGCTTACTGGTAATTTATATATGTATATCAAAATACACACTAAAAATGTAAATTATATATTTTTATAGGTTGTTACATACTTTAATAGGTCACAGAGGAGAGATTTCCAGTATACAGTTCAGCTGGGACTGTTCTCTCATTGTCACTGGATCATTGGACAAAACATGCATGGTAGGAAAGTTGAGTATGTACTAAATACAGCTACATCAGATGTAAAAATATATATTTTGTAAATGGAAGAGCAATATTTTAAACTAGTACATGTAAATTCATTATTTACAACTAAATGCAAAACCAGTAAGTTATTCATTTCAGTGAAGTCCAGTTAAATAACAATATTTTAAGGATTAATTAATACACTGAAATAAAAAAATACACGACTTCATTAAAGTGACTAATCAGTGACTCTTTATTGACTTAAATCTAGTTTTCATGTTAATACAGTAGCAGATATGAGAAAGAGCCTATATTTAGTTCTTTATAGACCAGCTAGATATCTATCACGTAAATTGGTGAAAATAAGCAAAAAAATTACCCTTCTTTATCTATGCAGCTGTGGGATGCCATGGCTGGGACACACATAGCAACTTTAACAGGTCACAGTGATGAAATAGTGGATGTCTGCTTTGATTATGTCGGCCAGCGTGTTGCAACTGCCTCCTCTGATGGTAGGTGAAGTGACTGGGACTGCTGTAAGAATCACAGCAGTAGTGTGAAGCACCTTTGTCCTTTTCCTTGGGCTTTGCTTGGTCAAAGAGGAGATGCCTGGCTTGAAACTATAGATCAAGCGATGCTTGTTGTGCTATAGAAGTTTTGGTATGAAATTGAAGAAGCTTTTGACACTGAAAATATTCTTCTTGTTCACACTTTAATAAATGGACGTGGCTTTCCTCTTTAACTTCAGTCATGCAGGGAAATATGTTACTTATGGTTGGAAATGCATTTCAAATGTTTATGTAGGTAGCTGTTGTCTGGAGTTTGATTTGAAGAGCTCAAATTTAGGCTTAAATTAAAAAGAAAGTCGGAGTTTTAGTGGTGGATTTGCTGCTAGGCTTTTGAAGAAAATATTCAATAAAGAGACAGTGGAAAAAGTGATTTTGTTTTGTTATTGGTGTGCAGCAGTTTTGCATGTTTATTATTTTTAATGAGTGGCAATAACTTTTGAATTCACCCGCACAGTGTTACATTATATTGCATAATGACAAAACCAATTTTTTTTTTTACATTTTTACACATTAAATGTTTTAATTTGCACCTTCAGAAACAGAATACTAGATTAGATGGGGGGGTACTATTTGAATCTGTTACTAAATTAAGACAGAAGACAATGTAAAAAGTTTCCTGAAATGTAGCCAGTAACTTATTAAATATAACTGATAGCTCATTAAATAAAATTAGTATCTGAAATGCAATGAAAGCTATATGATACAGGCATTTTGAAAGTATGTACTTCAGTGTTCCATGTTCTACGTGGACATTTTTATTCAGATTTTAGAAGTTTTCCAGCAGAAACCATGAAGCAGTCAGCCTTTTCCAACTAGATTACAGATCCTTTTTGACATACTTTATCCTTGGGGCAACTGTCTTAAGATTGTCTTCTATTCCTTTGAAATCCAACCTGAGGATGAGGTTTTACTGGCCTCATTAAGATGCTTTTTGTTGAAAGGCATCCTCAAGCATAGCAATCACAAATGGCTTCTAATCTACTACAACAGGATCAGCAAGAATCTATAATGTGGAAACAAAAAAGTGCATTGCAAAGCTAGAAGGGCATGGAAGTGAAATTTCTAAGGTAAGTTTTTTTGTGCTTTGCAGCTTTTCATTCTTGATTACAGATGACATCCAATCCTATTCCATGACACAGGAATATTGTCACAGAATGTGGTGGCAAAATAATTGATGAGAGTGCTACTCCTCCCCCAGGAGCCATCTCTCCATATTGTCATGTTGTTTCCTTATTGATTCCTTAGAACTGTGGCAGTTAGCAAACTACTCAAGAAGTCCACCCCTTCCAGGGATGGATATCTGGCTTTGTTAACATCAAAATGATTGTTGCTCCTTACATCTTCCCTTTTTTTGAAATGGTATATAGGTTGGGTCTCCACAGTCACTTGGCAGGTTCTCTGGGGGGCAGAGAGGGAGATGCTGTCTGAATGTTCTCTCTCTGTGTTCATATTTAACAGAGCTGCTGTCTGACCTGACCTAAATTGTACTTGTATTATTACACCCTGGGAGCCCCCAGATTCGCTGGCAGAATAAGCACAACTTTTTTAGACTCTTGATGACATCTTAAGGCTATTGCCTCTGAGGCTTTTACCATCACCTTTATTCCTTGCTTCTACCAGATGTGCTCCTCTTTACACTTTTTCAATTCTCTGCACACCCAGTGTATGGAACAGAATAGAAAAAATGTAATTCTGAGGAAAATTATGTAGAGAGTCTTATTTTCAAAAGTGCATCAAGGAAGTTGGAAGTATAAAGACTGTTTCAGAAATCACTTGGTCATGAGGAATGTGCTTATGTCCTTTGCTGGAAGTCTTTTCTGGCTCAAGTTTGACTGCTAAAGCTCAGCTCCAACTAGATGTACTTTCTTCCAAAATTGTACATATTTTTCAAGCTTTGTTATTTAATGCTTACAACTTTTCATTATTCTTTTAAATTGATTGTTCTCCCTAGCTCCCAGACTATCATGCCAACACTGTGCTGCTTTTGTTTGATGTGTTTTGTAATTGAAATATTAATATTTTGAACCAAGGATGGTTCTTAGTGGACAAGACTCATGTGCTTCCATTGTATGGATGTGGCTGTTATCACAGAATCACAGAATCGTCACAGTTGGAAAAGACCTCTAATATCACCAACCATCACCAACCATCAACCATCAACTCAGAAAAAACCACCATGACCTCTAGAGAGTGTCCTGATGCATGTTGTTTGAGTATCTCCAGGGATGGTGACTCAACCACCTCCCTGGGCAGCCCATTCTGATCATTCTGCTGGGAGAATACCAAGTTCAGAAGGGCTCGTCTTTCCTCACTTCATGTACTCCCTGCACTATTTCATACTCAGTGTAGCTGCACAGAGGAATGCAAACATGTGGGTGGGTTAGGACAACTTCCACCAGGGTCCTGAGTGGTGCCACAAGTTCTTAGCTGGACATGACAATCTGCTCACCCAGGAACATGTTGAAAAGTCAGTCAGCTTCTGCTGCTCTTCTATGTAGCTGTGATCTTGGGAAGATTATTACTTGGAAATTTAATTTATTTGGAACAGTAATTAAGCAATTTTGCATTATATAGTAAACCTGGTATTGTGAAGTTAGTGCTATAAAAATGTATCTTATTATCTGGAAATGCATGCAATTTGAGCAATGCATGTCTGACAAATGGGAAAACATACTGCAAAATTAGTTGCCTTCAGTGAAAGTTTTGTTACTACAGAGACATGTTATTTAATGTAGGACTCTATAAAGTATGTATACATTGGAATAATGACAACATTTAAATACAGTTGTTACAGTTGTAGAGCAATTGTGATTCTGAGTCACAATATTCTGAAGTCTTGATCCTATAGTAAGATCTTTGTATATAGACCTTTATTCATAACAGAGTTTTCAGCCACAGAAGTTTGCCAGGGTGACTCTAGTCAATTACTATCCTAAATTTTACCTGAAGAGCTGAATGCAAGATTTGCTGGTTTCTGTTTTCATCTTTAATCATTGTCTATGCTCTTTTTTTAGGCCTATTGACTTGCTAAGTAATGTAACTCTTTTCTATCTTTTTAAAGGTGTGTTTCAACCCTAAAGGTGATCGTGTACTGACAGCCAGCTCTGATAAAACAGCTCGACTCTGGGATGCTGCTACTGGGCACTGCCTGCAGGTATTAGAGGGCCACACGGATGACATATTCTCCTGTGCTTTCAATTACGAAGGCGATAAAATCATTACAGGTAAACAAGATATTAAATTTTTTTTGGTTGCTTTTTGAGAGTGAGACATTTATAATCTTTTTATGGGAAAAAAGAATCTGAAAAGTTTACTGGGCCAAGTACAGGTATCAGCAGTGATGTAAAACATAGCCAAGAAAAATTAGAAACTCACTTCTGAACTGGATTTGTATAAAGTAATTTGTATAAGGGCAATTTCCCACAGTATGCCCTGCCAGCTCTCCTCTGGGTGTGTGCTAGCACCAGAGCAGTGGCTAAGCCATTTTCTCACCATCATTGCAGTGAGGGAGGTCTGGATGAGCAAAAGGCAAATCTTTTTAAATAGGAGCACATCCTTTGTGTATTTGGCACTGAGGGCTGTTCAGGTTTCCTTCATTTCAGACAAAATGTTGCAGGAGTGGGCAGAGATATGAACAGAATATTTGTGATTGCTTCCATCTTTTGACTGAACTGTTAAAACATGGGATGCAGGGTGGTCTCAGCTATAAGTATTGCTGTAGATCTGCTGTTTCTCACTACTCATGGACAGAAAAAAATTTCTCTGGCTCCTCAGCATTCTGGGAAGATTATCAATGTAGGTGTTAGCAAAAATGGATGAATTGTGTGATACAGCTAAATGACTCCTTCACAATGTCTGTTTATTACTAGGGAGCAAGGATAACACCTGTAGAATATGGCACTGACTGAAGAGAAGGAAAGATCCAGTTTGTTATATGCCTGCTTAGTGAGTTTCATAGTCAATAAATTCAGTCTTTCAGATCTGTTTGCTTTTCCCCTCTTTGTTCACCTTCAGCTTTGCTAAGTAGGAAAGTTGCCTAGATTATCAGTTTGGCTTTGCTGTTGCTGGGTAGATATGGAATCACAGAACAGCAGAAATTGGAAGGGACCTCTGGAGATCATCTAGTACAACAGTCCTGCTCAGAGCACTGTCACCCAAGCAGGCTGTCCAGGAATGACATGGTTTGGAATATCTGCAAGGATGGAGAATCCACAGTTTCTCTGGGCAACGTGCTTAGTGCTTGATCACTCTCACAGTAAAAAAAAAAAAAAAAAAGTTGTTGGTATTTTTATTTCTCCTTATGTCTAAATGGTATGTTTTGTTGTATTTCCATTTGTGCATGTTGCCTTTTCACTGGACACCACAAAAAAGAATCTGGTTCTGTTAATCTCAGTCACCTGAGAGAAATCATGATTACTGTGAATGAATCCAGTAGGATGGTTCCATTTATTTGTGTGTCATTTTTAACTTGTAAACCTTTTAATAAAAAAAAAAACCAAAAACAGCTTTATAATAATCTCAGGTGTGAAAGGTGCTGTTATGCAGTTTCTCTGACTGTTTTTGTATTGATCTTTTTGTTGTGTAATTAAGTATTGAGTTAAAATGTCAGTTTTGCTGCTTGTAATTTTGTCCCACTTGGTGTTTCTGGAGAAAACCAGCAACCATTTGTGAACTGTACTGCTATCTGGTATTGTGTGTGTCCTGCACTTAAACTCCCACTCATCCCCTCCTTTCATACTTGTCTACATCTTTCCATTTGTTCAGTTAGTTTCTGCTCAGCCCTTATTCTCCCATTTTCATCTGAGGTAAAAAAAATAACATGGCTCGTGACTTCAAGTCTGAATCCTGGCCCAAAGGTTATGGCAGCATGAAGCCCTACACACTAAAGATTTGGAGCCAAGGATCATGACATAAACTGGTAAATGGTTGAGGAACTCCTGTCAATTATTTACCACCATACAAGGAGCTCTGGCCCAGGCTTACCTCACTAGCAATTGCCAATAGGTTTCACCTGTGCAGAGCTCTCCCCACTTCCCAGCAGAGCACCCAAAACCACAGTTGCTCTTCACGGAGGAGCACGGAAGGAGCAGAGTCAACTGGTTTCTTCCAGCAGCCTTGAAAGAAGAAAGAAGAGACAAAGCAGGTAGGGTTGAACAGAGTGTGTGTGTTGCCTGAAAGAAAATAGGAGCAAAGGAAGTGTGAGGCAGAGAATGAACTTTAAGGTATTTTGTTTGTATTGTGTGTTTCTGGGAGGTTGTCAAATTGACTACCAAGTGTTATGTGTAATAGGAAGTTACTGATGCTGATGTGTTCTGACTATTGCCAGCAACCTTGCCTGTAAGTGAGGAAACAAAAGTGCCTGTTATCACTTGGCAAATACCCTGGTTGTTTCAAGTAGTGTCGTGTTGCGAGAGAACTAAGTGTTGTGCTGCAAGTCATTTAAAATGGCACCTTTACCAGTAGACAAAGTGACTGATGTTAATGTTACAGTGATACTTGTGGTGTGTCCTGTTGTCTTGTGCAAAGACAGATGATGTTAAAGGACTACCTCAGAAAGCCAGAATTGGAAGGACAAGAAAGGCAGTGCAATTCTGTGTTACTTTAGAATTGCCCTGTCCTTAGGTCAGTTTGCACCTGTATTTACAGACATGACATGGGGGATTTCTGCCTAACAAAAATGGAAGAAAATGTATGTAATGAAATGTATAGAAATACTGCTATGTAGTTAAAAACTGAAATTTGACTTGTGAAACCATAAAAATAAAAAATTATTTGGACTGTGAGTAAGAAGTAGATTTTTTTGCTCAATCTTTCAGGTTGAGTTATTTTCTGTTGTCTTTTCCTTTATGATTTTTTTCTTATACTGTGCTAGTGGTTCAGTGAATCAAACAGCTTTAGTGGCTTTTGGCTTTGTGTTGTTGTCCCAGTTTTTACACACAATTGTGAATTGAGGTTTCACAGGCGAAGCATTGGACTGGGAGGCCATCTGGGATCTATTTCTGGCTCTTGCCTGGATTCCCTGAGTGAGTGAAGTTGATTTTCAGGCTAAGTTGCCCAGATTTTCTGCTCAAATGTAAAATACTTCCACATCTGCTGTGATTCGCAGCACCTCCGAAAGTGCTGGCTTGGTGCTTCATACAAACTTCATTAGTACTCTAGGTACCATCATACAAATGCTTTGAGGTTAGGCTCTCTGTGCCTTGGTTTATCCATATATGTAGATTTAATAAAGTATAGAGATATAAATTAGGAGAGTGTTGTATAGATGTATTATCACAAAATCATTCTGTGTGACTGGTAGCAGCTTGATCCCTTTCTCTAATTCCACTTTGTTCTCTGCAACCAAAATAGCTTGTGTGTGTCTGGTGCCTTTTTCTTCTTATAAAAACACTTGGCTTCTCCATACCTTGCACTGTCCAAGCTGCCACTCTAATTACTGGGTGGTTGGAGTTGGACTTGGCTTTCAGTATAATCCTGGAACACTGGCAAACTTGATTCACTGTGACCTTATTGAACAGGATTACCTCAGGGGACTCCTGAAGTGTACTTTAGCGAGGACTGTCACAGAATGGAAATAATTTTTGCTGGGTTGTTTCTGCCCTTTAGACCTCTGAATCCTTTCAGTATATACCTCTGTGAATATACCAGTTTGTTTTTCTGGGAAACAAGTCCTTAGCTTGTATCATATAACTTCCTCAGGGGAGAACAGAAGTTTTAGGAGATGAGGATTTCCATGTAAGCATCTGATCTGTACTTGGACTCTTGACATGTGCTTTTTTTATCTCTTGAGCTTCAGATTCTTTTCTGACTATGTTCCTTCTGTGTGATCACTTGCATTTCCTGGGTAGTTAATGAAGGACATAGAATATATCCTGCTAGGTTGTATTTCCTAGTTTGCCATGCTTTACTGTCTAATTTTCAGCTGAATGTGGGAGAAGGGTATGTTATATATCAGCCAGACCTGTCTTCACTGCGTATTGTTTTAATTAGTTTGATAGTCCAGCTGTCTAATTTAACTGTCTGCTAAATTTTGTACAGCTGCAAGTTGCTTTCTGAGGGCCTGTTCCTTGCTGTGAATGGAGTGGGTTTGAAAAACTGAAGCAGTGGTGTTAAGAAATAGCTCATACTTGGTGAAGGCTTGGGAATGGCTTTGCCTTGAATTAAAGTTCTTAAATTAGGTAGTATGGATGTGGCAGGAATTTGTTTTATTACATAGCTCAGATGGGCTCTTTATTTCAATGGAGTTTTTTCATTCAGAAGCAGAGATTTGAGAAGCTACAGGGATGGCAGGCAAATATTAATTAATAGGTCAAAAAAGGCAAAGAGCACACACGTTATAACATAAATTTATTTCTGAATAACTTGCAACATGAAGAACTACTGTACAGAGAAACTGCATCACACTGTTACAACTCTCATGACATTTGTGCTTTGTAGGTAGGATAAGTAAACATTTATTCTATCACAGCAAAAATTGTATACTGACAACTACCTGTATTTGGTTAAAAAATAAATACACTTTCCTACTTGTTAACTCAAAGCACTTCATCATAGTTGGTGCTTTTTAGTAACTTTCAGCCTCAGAAATGCTGAGCGTTCAGAGTTGATTATCCCATTAGTAGGAGTTGGGGATGCTCATCAATCCTTAGGAGCAGGCCCAGAGACTTTGCAGTTACGCTCAGGGTGTCATAAATTGACCTTTATCTCAACAATAAAGTGACCTCCACTGTCCTGGGTGTGCTGAGGAGATGTAGAATTACTGATGTTCCACCTTAGATTTTAATTCACTAGCAATTTGTGTTTCCTAACAAATGAGTTATGCAGTCATGCAGTTTTAGGAATAGTTAGTTTTAAAGAGAAAATTGAGATATGGCTCTTTTTCATAAATTATTTAAAATTACTTCAAAACTTTCAAAAGTATTTAGTGCAAAAGGATAGGTTTGGTGTTGTGTTTTTTTTTTTTTTTCAATAAATATTACAGAAGCATATACTAATACTTGGAAAATAAAACATCTCTTAAATATTTTATTGGGAAAAGCAGGCAGGTTTTCCATTCCACTGTTTGGAGAGGGAGAGATGAAAGATAAATATTTTCAAAGAAACAAATCACAGAAGAACTGTGATGTGCTAAGTTATATTTACCTTTAATCCAAAACCAATCTCTTTGGCAGACTCAAGAGAAGTTATCATTAAGTGCATGATACTAACAGATCATCTCAACAAGATGATACTGCAGTGTATCTTATCAAAGAGTTATATATAAATGTTACAGTAATGTGAACTATCACATCTAGTCCAAACACAACCAAAATGATCAAGTGTGTTTGCTGGAATTTTAACAATCATTTTGCTTTTTTGTAAGTTACAAAAATTAATTGTAACAATGAGCTGGTACTCTTCAGGTAGGCTTTTATTCACCTTATTAATAACTTATTTGCTTAAATTAAAATAGTACTTTTTCCCCACTGTTTTTAACTGATATTTAACATGTTACATAGTGCTTTAAGTAGGAGCACTTTAGGTAACAGATGTACTATCCTGACTCCCTCTCACCAGGTAGGGACAGTGAGGCACAGAGGTGAAAGGACTCGCCCAAGGGCTTGTGGCAGATCTGTGGTGGGACAGGGCTTAGAAACTTGCAGAGGTGTGGTCGGGTGTGGCCACTCTGAACTGCACTGCTTCCAGTTGCACAGGAATGTGTTTTTAAGGGTGGTAACTCAAGAGTCTAGATTTTGTTTTCTTGAGTAGACAGGAAGGGAAAATGGCTGTGGAAGAGAAACAGTCACATGGGAAGAAACTAAAATGTATTTTCAGCAGCTTTTTATTGCATTGTTTAACTGCAATGTTCTTAGGTGTTCAGAAGTTTTTACCCATTAGCTGAGTATGGGGATTTAAAAAAAATAA